TGGTACTTGCTGGACCGGACTGGGACTGACTGGACCTTCCGCTGACTGACTGTGGACTCACCGCTATCCTACCGACGTTGTACTGCTGTTGCACACCGGTTTAGTCCACCACTTGCCTCACCACTTGACCACTTGCCCACTTGCCTACCTTCTAGAAGGTCTACAGCTAAGCTTCCGGAACTCACTAAGACTCCTACGCTATAGACCTACAAATCGAACCCCTGCTGCCTATGGACCTACGACAGGCCTACCAACTGCCTACGAATACACAGGTCACAGGTTCAATTCTCGGGGTCTACACAGATACTCTTCCTTCACTTGCTTCAGGGTGAGGTCTAGGGATCGAACCCTGGGTACTGCATCCGCTACTGCTAAAAGGTGAAAACCGTTTCATATGTGCCATGGACAGAGTATCGTTGTCGCTTTGTTGCACCAAGCAGAGCAGCGGCAGTTCTGATAATAAGAGGTTTTCCAAAAACCATTTCAATTTCGCATGCAAATTGGACGCTTCATTCCCGTAAATGTGCCCCCTGCTCCGAAGCGCAGTAACTGCACAAAGCACCCGTCCCTCCACCTCCCTCATGGCCCCAAACTTCTTCCTTTTATTGGCTTCGGAATGCTCAGCAACAGTAACAAATCACTCGATTGGCGAGGCTCATGATGGGGAGAGATTCTGCATTCTGCATAGTGCACCTGTTCCCTCCACGTTCCTCTGGCTCGTGCAGTGTGCACTTCTTCCTTCACTTGCTTCAGAATGCTTTGCAACAGCGGGGTGGAGCAAGAAATCGTTTGATTGACATAGCGGTCTGTCTACGCCATTTTCAGCAAAAATAGAAGATACGTAGTGCTTTCGCTTCTGGGAAGACAGCACCACTGATGGAAGCTCAGATGAGATTGCCAAACTGGAACAAATTGAGAAATGCAGGGCAGTCCTGTTTTTTTAGATTAATTGTCACTTACACGACTTTAGGTTTTAAAAAAAAAAGGAGGTATTTCAGATGCTGAACACGACGTGAGACTCGACAAAATAATGTCAAATATTTATAAATTGTAGCATCCTTTCTGCATCTCTTACTATCAGGATTTTTTTTTTGAAAAAAAAGAAAGAAAAGAAAACTATCAGATACGCAGAAATCCATCTTTCACAAATCAGGTGGAAAGACTGGCACAACTCGGTTATTCCCCAAGGAATGAGGGACTTCCTCCAAACTAGACGACATGATCTCCGTGAGACCTGGACACACTCAGTGAGCGGCTGTTGGCAGACCTCCACACCAATATGGGACTTCAGAGACACAGCAGTTTCTCTGTTTCCTTGTTTTATTTGTATTATCTGGTAGGTCTCAATGTGGAATTTGAGAGGGAACTCAGAGACAGGCAAGCTGACAGGCAATCCTCCTTTAAGGAGCAATCAATGCTGGTCGGGGTCCACTTGCCGGTGGAATAGGAAGCGGACTGATGCTCCCCAGAATGGATAAGGAGCCAGGGCCATATTGGGGAAAAACAAAACAAAAAAAAAAAACCAAACCTATCAGACACCTCTGCCTAACGTGTTGTTGCACGTCTAACGGCTCTACCGTTTTTGACAACTTTGAATTTTCAAACTACTGCTGACTCCACTCGTTGGGTGATCGGGGACCTGCCCAGGCTCTTCTAAGTGCCTTCTTTTCCATCGCTTTGGAGCTGTACCTAACCCCTCTGGACATGTCCTCATCTCCAATCTCTGTATGCCGATTGGACCCATAACGATCATACGGGATGCGAACATGTTGTACAGCTGCGGTATATTGCTAGTACTTACTTGGCGGACTAGCCCATCGTCATCCCATTATGTTTGCTGTCCATTTCTATTTGACATGTGATACCCAACTAAGGTGACGCTCGGCAATTGTGAAAAAGTACATCTGAAGCTTTTATTGTCATTCGCGGATGGGTTTTGGCTTCGGCATACTTGCTTTTTTTTCCTTGCTGGGGAAGGAAGTGTGGGGAAAGAAAATTGGGAAGGAATTGGCTTTCTGATGGAAGCTTCTGAAGGGCTAATAGTGAGCACAAACTGGAGGAGGGGGACTTTGTTTTTCTAGCTGAAGCCTCAAAAACCATGTCATGCTGAGTGCAGACTTTTTCTTGTGTTTCTGCTTGCTTGCAGCGAGGTTGGCCGAGGTTATAATCGACGAGGTCATGAGCGCTCCATGTGAATCAACAACTCTTTTCCCAGCAAGTGGAGGAAATATCCATGCTTTCACAGCCCTTACTCCTTGTGCAATCCTGGACGTATTGGCTCCACCATATTGTAAAAAGAGCGGAAGAGATTGTACATATTACCATGAAGTATCACCCAATGGAGGTGAGTCGATAACCAAGCCAGCAGTTTTTCCCACCTGGTGATTTGATATGCAAGGAAAATGAGCGATAGCGAAATGACAGAATTCCAGAATGCAAAATCACATTGAAAGCCAGAAAGTCGAACGCTGTCCAGAAAGCAGATATACTCTGATATTCCACCAACGGAGATGGTGTTTCCCTGGGAAGTGCTCGCAGAAGCACCACCAAAGTTGAAAGATTCAAATGTCACTATCAGGATGCTACCTTCCCAGTGACCTGCTTACTATTGCACTTGCTCATTTTGAGACAAGCGCCTTGTGCAACATGGTCTCGCCACACCTCGTACTCTAGACCAAGCTTCCTATATGGGTCGTCCTTGGTGAACTTGACCCTTGGGCCGGCCTACATTTTGTTTCCCGCCCCCCTTAGCCTTTTTCTCTAATGGGAGTGACTACTCCACCCTCTGAAGTCTCCCCACTCCTATGTACCTCTTTCTCTTCCCCAAGTTCAGAGAAGTCGTCAATCTCAGTCGCTTGGCCGTCATGGTCAACAAACATGAGATTGCCCTTCTCCCTCTAATCCTGAGGAACGTTCTTCTTCCTCCCATCTACTGGTCCCTGCTGGGCACTCCCAAGCCTAGCCTCTATGTCTAGGGCTTTCTTGCTGAACGAGGCAAAAGACATGCACATCTATGGAGGCCACATCGGCCAACTTATTTTTGACATCTATGTAGACATTGCAAACAAGTCTTCTAGATTACCTGCGGATTGCACCGCACGCCATCAACAACAATCAGTCACTCTACGACGTCCGTTACCTCGCAAATTGTCCCGTATCTCTTTGATCCCAGACTAGCCAGCGAGTCAGTGGCCTTCTGAACCCCTTGAGGGTCATAACACCTGCTGTAGACCAACCGTAC